AAAGTGAAATTCTATATTTTGGAAATTTTGCATGAAATCTGTCAACCACGCTGTCATGGTCGAGGTTGCTTCACCTATCACGATGTATTCCACCATCATGAGGCTATCTAAATGAGCATTTGTTATAACAGAACGCAAATTATTTTTTAATTAGTCTCATTGAATTATTATTATTATTATTATTATTATTATTGTTTTTGTTATTGTTGTTGTGGTTGTGATGAAAAGTTAACACAAACAATATGGTGACTAAACGAATATTACATGTAAATACTTTGTTTTTATTTGTTTGTTCCCCGACAAAATTTATCGTCTTCTCTTCCCCCGATGGGGGGGGGGGGAAACTCTTGCCTTGATGTTTTTTTTATTTTTTTATTTTAACATCTTTTAATTATTAATTTCTAGTTTTTGATGGCTGCTGTTTGTATTTATTGGATAAATATATAACGTTCTCATAAATCTTTGGATTTGGCGCCTTAAAATATCCGAGATGTTATTAATATTTTAACTTTGTGAGAATTTAAAGGTGTTGGAAGAAAGAACTAAAATGATCGCACGACAGTACGATGAGGAACACGCACGTTGCATTGATTGGTGTGGTGTGTGAACAGAAGAATTATTAGGTGCGTAGGCCTATTATTGATATCTAGCAGATTCTTCAGTTCAACTGTTTACAAAGCATTATGTTCAACATTACCACAAGTCGGTTTAAATCTTAACCGACCTATAATAATAATAATAACTAACTTCTTTTGAAAATACTGTCTTGTCTTTTCAAATGCTTATCGATAACGATTTTGTTCAAGACAAGGCCTGTATTCTTGAAAATGGAGTATGTTAGCCCAGGATTAACTTTAGTTTTGGAATAGTTTCATAGACTAACCCACCTTCGAGAATACCGCTTTTAGATAATCTTGGTTTAAATCCAGATTTATTCTCCTGGACTAAAGATAGTCCGCTTTCGAGAATACGGGCCTAAGAGTATGACTTTTTGCAAAATTCTCCTTTCAAAAAGCATGTCTTTTAAACGCTAGTGCGATCTATCACATTTACATCTGTTAATACCTGAGTGTATCGATAATTAATGCTGTTCCAACACGAAGACCCAGCAGCAGCCGACCAGAGTTCGAATCTTGGCTTCAGTGATATTTTTTTAACTACTGTTTAAACTTTATATAGTCCTCAGTACACATTCAACCTAATATTAGCGTACCGCCTCTAACTAAATGTAAGAACTAAAATAAATGTCAAAAACTCGGACCTACTTTAAAATACGTAAATGATACATACCTACTGACGTCTCAGGCAAGAGGCAGACGGTGAAAATAACAGATACAGAAAAACATAACGAAAGAGAAAACATCTTTACTATTTGGTGTACCAGTAGTGCTTTCCAGGTTGTCAACTTCAGTTTTATCAATGATATGATAAGAGAACATATACTAGTATAGGCATATACAAATTGACGTTGACATTCAATTATTTTGATTGTTAGAGAATATACATCCAATCGTAAAAGCACCAATAATGTTGAATAATTCCACAGAATACACCTAAATTAAACTGCGTTTAATCTCTATGAAAAATATTTATCACCTCATTAAAAGTCAATATTTCATCAGTTTCAGTCACCATCAACATCAGCTTTGTCATTACCTTTACAGTATTTCATTTCATTTCTTTAGGCACGAGCGCCAAGGATATGCCAATAAGTGAACTCAATCACTGTCCTACGTGGCATATCCATTTAAGAACAGGGGCCTATTATCGTCATAATATGCCTAGACCTAATTCTATGGTTCATGGCTAACATTTATTCTCCTCACGAATGTTTACACTGAAGAAGATTGCAGAGACGACCGAAATATTTGTGATAGATAAATATGTGTATTTTCCCGAAATACGTCAACCATTTTTTCTGTCACTTGTGATCAGTCTCACTACATACAATCATTCCATGACCTGTTTGATCGATGAGTGAAAATTAATCCAGACTTACAAGCTTTAGAAAATACGAAAGTTTTGAGATTCTTTTTGAGCAAACCTAAATTTTCGGACAATCTAACAGAAATTGGTAACTGATTCCAAAGATGGGGTAGAGCAGAAAACAATATGATATGTATTAATATATTACATAGATTTACAAACAAGATTTATACTTACTTTTATAATTACTTTATTTTATTTTTATTTATTTATTATCCCAGCCAACAGCAAACATAAATTCGCCACTCACAGGAGGGAACACAAATGTTTCGTTTTGCACTCTAATATTATATGTTTCGTTTTGCACTTTAATATTATATAGGCTACTGCTAGTGTATGTTTGTAAAAAATCTGTACTTCTCTTGATAAAATGAAATAGTATAAGGTAAGAGAATGACCCATACTCGCAGCGTCATCGTGCTTAATAACTAGACTTAAAGAACATTCTTCACGATCTGATAGTTATATATTTGATCATGTTAAAAACTGTGAGGCATTCCAATATGTTTCAGGATTACAGGGTATACTTAAAAATGATAATGTCGTCTGTAACGTACGGTAAGTAATAAATTAGGTTTAATATTTTCTAGTACTAACATTATTGACAGCTCCCGAAACTGGTCTATCCTATTGTTTAAAGAAGGTTCGCTATACGTAGACTACACCCTTTGCTTAACAATGGGCTCAGAGCTTCAAAACAGCTTTCTTTGTTTTTGTAGGTATCTTTGATCATTAGAGTAAGAATGCTTTGATCTTTTGTTTAAATCACTGCTATGTCACCTACTAGAGGTAATGTTTTGATTGGCTAAACACTTTTGGTACTAGTGCATATAAGCTTGCTAATATGGATAATTTTTTCATTCCTGATGATGACATAATTAATTTCGAAATATTGAATCCCAACACGATGGCGTGTATTTCAATACTTGGAGTATGTATTATACTTTCTTATCTGAGATTAATCAGTGGACCTTTCGGTTTTAACAATTCTAAATTTTCAATTTTCAAACAATTTCCTCGCTCATGGGACAGGTTGCCCCATGAACACAGAAATAATCTTCCTCTTAGCCTAAGATCATTCTTACAATAGAAATATTTTTAAAGACAATATTTTTACATTCTTTTTCAAACCAATTGGACATTGATTGTGTTGCTCTGTATATTTAATACTGAGCAACAGAATCAATCAATTTTTGAAAATTTTAAATAATATTGATAATCGCTGCTGAATTTTACAATTAAAAATATTAATTTATTAAATAAATTATTGCAACTGCAATTTTATAATGATTGTGTTTAGTTGTGTTTTCATACAATGTTATTATTATTTATTATTATTATTATTAATATTATGATTTTGTACCCTTTTGTTTTTTTGGCCTGTTGTTTGCATTTATTGAATCGTACACTTTTATATCAGTGGATTAGTTTGATTCAGTTCGCTGTTGGGAATCACGTCTTGGTTGTTCTTGTTTGTTGTTAATTGTTTTTTTTCGAGACGAATAAAAGAAATGAAATGAAATATGCTTGAACAATTTTTGCTTTCAATCACTGAATTACCATGATATTACGCACGGTAAATGAGCTAAAAATGCACTGAACAACACAAAAGATCGACTCATTATAGCGCGCAATGGTTATGAGTCTCGATGTACCTCGCTATTTAGATTACCATTGCAGCAATAGTTCGAATTTCAATAACGTCGCGTTAGTTGTGAAATTCATTTTAATTTGTTATTACTTCCTAATTTTATTTTAGTAGGCCTAATATTAGTATTTTTGTTTTCGTGTTTTTTTTTAATTTATACTTTTTAATGACTGTTTTTTGTTGCAATTCCAACTTTACTTCTCATAACAATGAGATATGTATAAACAATTTTTGCTTCGATCACTGAATCGCTATAAACTAAAAATGAACTGACTTATGCCGGGCGGGCTCATATAACGCGCAGTGGTTATGAGTCTCCATTTTACCCTTGCTATACCATTGCAGCTATATTTCGAGTCTTACTAACGTCGTGTTATTTTCCCTGCTTTATTATATGATTATACACTACTTGATTTTTAAAAAAAAATTTTTAAAGCCGTTGTTTTTTTCTAGTACATTTTTCTTCCTAATCCCGTTTTCCTACTTTTTTTTTTTAACTTTTTTTTATTTTTTTCTCACCGGCTTTGGTCACCACATTTCATAAGAACTGAGGCAAAATGTCAACTGAGGATTTTTTTTTTAATAGAAAAACCAATAAATTTTATCTGTACCTTATGTGCGGTGTGTGATGATATACTAAACAATACCCTCTTTATTACAGTACAGTAATAGGCCTATACTACTTTAAAAATAATAGTTTTTGATGTTTGAAAAGTGTGTAAAAATAGAAGAACAAAATAGGAACATTTTGAGCTTGAAATCTTTAAAAAAAAATCAGAACACTGAGCCTGGGAAAATTTTACTCGTTTTTATATAAAAAAAGTGCATATAGGCCTATGTTTAGGTAGGATAAATGAAGTAAAGGCGATTAGTAAGGGCCTTACTAATTACTGTACAATTCCCTTAGAAATTATATATTTGCGGCATGTTGAAGATATAGGAAATAGGAAGTTTCTACATAGATTAGCAGATATATGCTGCAACTATTATATATTTTATATATAAGGGCTCTAGAGGTCTTGTAAGGTCTGAGCCTTGCTGTCACAAAAGTGATGAATTATGAGAGGGACACCTAACCACATTGAAAAGTTCATCTGTTGACTCAATTAGGCCATGTTAAAAAAATGATTATGTTGTTCAGTTGGTAGGCAGGAGGAGTTTTTTTCCCACCCCTTAATAAATGCCAAGTCTTCAAATTACCCATGGAGAGCAAGTCTGCATTTAAACTTAATGGATATTTCAGTGTAATGTTTGATTAAGTGGATATTGTACATACTAACAACTCCCTGTAGGCTAGGAACAAATGAGAGACAAAATAATTACACACAAAAAATAGGCCTAGCCGAAGTTGGATTAAGGGCGGAAAGACGACACATTTTAGTAAGTTTCGGCAAAAAAAAAATTGTTGGGCGATGGTTTTTATGTAGGAAGGGGTCGATCAACAACTTATTTTTTATATGGCCTTATAGTGATTCATCCTTTATCAAACCACATTAAATCAATGCATGACACTGTAGTGCAATGTGCTCAAAATAAGCTAAAGATTCAGTATATAACGACAGTAAAGTCATTTTCCCCTAAGTTAAGCTGAAATACGGGATTTATATTCACTTCGTGAGATTGAAACTTTGATGATCCACGTCGTTAAAGTTTTTCAGACCGGTAAGTTTTGAATCCCAAGCTTTTGCGGGTTCTCCTTGGTGTATATCACACAAAAGAAATCCAATCCAATCCAAGGCTAATAGTTAGCGGGCCCCTTTGCCATTCGACTCGACCAATGAATAGGGCCTAAGGAAGATAACATAATCCAGTGTATTTTTCGTCTAAACTTAAAGGTGCTGTTAAATATACACCCTTCTCCCTAGCGCCATTGCAAGTTGCATTAGGTCCTGGAACTTGTCCAACAGCAAATGCAAGACTTCCGTTTTTCAACCAGCCATAGTCACAATCGTTGAAACCGATAAGTTGCGCGTATTCAACTTGATCGTAGGTTGCCAAGTCGCCATTTGCGACTGTTTCGCTGCACAACGCAGTAGCGTTGGCATACGTCAGAGAAGTGAGATCGTCTCCTTTGATTATCACCACCCGATGAGATGGAAAGGGGTCTGCACTTAACACTCTGTTGTGCATCCAACAAATCGCATATGGTGTCTGTCTTCCTTGTGTAATATCTGTCAAATATATTCTGTTTCCTAATACAGTTGGATTCCAACAGTTGTTTTTGCTTGTTAAGGGCATTGGTTTGGCAACTAATCCAACCAAAAACCACGATTTAAAGCACGTATTTATTCCAATAAACGTCAAATTAAATGCCTCACTGGTTGTTATCAGACGTCCATCAAAGTCTTTGGTGCAGCGTTCTTCTGCTTGCTTGTACGTAAATCCATCAATATGATCACTGCCATATAAACGGATAATTCTGTTTGGTGAGTGATAGTCGACCTCGTCAACTGAGGGGTTGGCACCTATGTAGCAGTACGCGCCTTCGAATGACGTGTTCAGATACGGATAGGCGTTGCAACGGAACTCAGTGCCCGGCAGGTAACACCCTCCTTCGGCCTCTGTGAAAGCCAACTCACCGCTGACCAACCACCCTGGCTTACAACTCATCTGTACGCCATAACTAGCAGCAGAGATGAGTTGCTCATAGAAGGCAAGAGTGCCAAGAATTTGTAGACAGGCATCCATTGCTTGAGAATAATTTACATTCTTCTCAACATACCACAAAACGCCATATTGACCCTACAATATTTGATTTAAAAATAAGAAATTAATATAATTTAAAAAAAAACCCAAATTCATTATTTTCACAGATATTTAGTTTCACTATTTAAAAAAAGGGATAACATTCCATTAGGCCTAAACGTTATTATTTACGCATATTCCGGGGAGTAAAATACAAAATCCTACCGTAATTTTATAAGATTTTGAATTTGAATAATCAAGCGCGACAGATGCCTCATCGGATTGATTAGTCGGGTTATTAATCTCACATGTAGGCCTACTTAACTCTCTTGAGTCACTTTCGTCGGCAATATAATATGTGATAGAATCACAAACGTTGTCGCTAAGTCGTAAACAAATTTGTGCGCATCGTATTTTACTTAAAGTCTTCACACGCATGCGTACACTATGTGGTGGGTTACTCGTCTGTGATATTGTCTGCCACTTCAGTCCAATTGTATGAAGTCCTGTAGAAAAAAAAACTCCAATTACTATAATGATTTAATAACATATTAAAACTGCAACCAATCTGCAATAACTACGGTATTCACTATCCATCCATCCCTCCACCCATTCATTCATTCAAAATCAACATACAAATCACGGAAAATTTATAGTATCTTAGAAAATGTATTTTTCAATCTGATTCGTAGAAGAGTCACTAGTAGTAAAAACATATTAGTAAAAACAGTGATCCAATACATCATCTACTAAACGATAGATGGAATGCCCTGCTGTAATATATAGTCGTCTTCTTTATTGTTGCCATTTCTCTAATGCTCTTTTGTTTTGTAATATAGGTTTTGAGCATACAGTTATGTTGTATTAGGGCCCACATTGTTTACTATGTAATTGTTTTAGCTATGGAGGTATTCCGATATAAAGTGATATGAAATGATAAAATTGATAAAGAGTTAGAAACAGATGTCGCAAAATGCCATTAAATGTAGAGAAAGTATTGATGCATGCGAGATGTGGTTTCAGAGAAAATTGGTGAACATCAAGTGGACGGACAAGGTAATAATGAGAATGTATTAAGAAGAGTATGTAAGCCACATCAAGAAATTGATGAAAAGAAGAAGTGATGGATCGGTCACATTATGCTTTCGTGAATACGGGGCCTAAGACTTCATCATTTTCCAAAGTCTTTCTTCAAAATTCATGTCGTCGTTTAAACGCTTTAAGTGAGTGCGTATCAAATTTACCTCTGTTTTACGCGAGTGTATCGATAAATACTGTGCTGTTCCAACACGAAGACTCGGTAGCAGCCGACCAGAGTTCGAATCTTGGCTTCGAGGATATTTTTTACCACCTTTTACACTTTATATAATAGGCCTAATAGTGCACATCCAACTTAACATTAGCGTACCGTAAGCTAAACAATGCGAGTAAGAACTAAAATAAATGTCAAAACTTGGGACGTAATTTAAAATACAGTAAATGGTACATACCTACTGACATCTCAGACAACAGATAGACGGTGAAAATAACAGATATAGAAAAACACAACGAAAGAGAAAACATCTTTAATATTTCGTGTATCAGTAGCGCTGTCTAGGTTCTAATTTCTGAAGAGAAGCATATACGAGTATATGCACATCGATGTTGACATCCAATTATTTTGATTTAATTGGTTGGGAATATTGGACCAATCGTAAAAGCACCAATAAAGTTGAATACTGTATAATACACCTAAATTAAAATGCGTTTACTGTCTACTAAAATATTTATCACCTCTTGAAATGTCAATATAGTCGATCTTTATCATCATAATCAATATTTCATAAGTTTCGGTCACTATCATCACCGTCATCGCCATATGGCCATAAAACAACGTCTTTGGTTCGTCGGGATTATTCTATATAGGCCTAGACCTAATGCTACGTTTCATGGCTAACATTCATTGTCCTCAGGAATTTTGGCTGGTAAAATTGCTAACCACTGGCTAAAATCCATGGGTAAGCAGCCAAAAATGAATATGCAATAGCTTCATAAAGTTTGAAAAATGCCCTTTTCATATATTATTCAAGTATTTCGGATTCCTCTGTGAAAAATATATTTTACAAGAAAGCTAACCATAGATTCGGTCGAATTTGGTAGACACAAACCTGGAATTTAAATTCCTTGAAATTACGCCCAAAAAATGGACAGTGAACATTAAAAAAAAACCGCAGTACATTGTATAAAAAATCCGAAAGTTGCTTCCTTGCAATACTACCTTTTTTGGCCTAATAGAAAGTATAAACTTCGATATGATATCGACAGCAACAATATATATTCAGGAAGACAGTGAAAGCATTGTAAAGTTAATAGACACAAACACTGACTTTCTTCAAGTCGATTTTTAATGTTAATCTCATACAACCACAAGTATATGCACAACAATATGGACCTTTTCGATGTGTTAATCAAACCTAACTGACCAATCATAACATGTTATTTAATAGCAAAAGAAATACGCGCAAGTCCAACAAAAACGTACGTTTACGCTGCTCAAGGTCCCCACCTTAGCAACAATACACAAGCATGGACCTATTAATTAATTATTAATAATTATTAATAGGTCCATGATACAAGGGACCAGGCTTAATCGAATGTCCATTGTTGGGACAAAATTAATGATATCTTGCCATTGCTTAACATGTAATACAATGTAGCATTAGTAAATGTAAAACAATTTTCAGATTTTAAAATAAACCCTAAAAAATCTAGCTACAGTATTTAACAACTTTTTATTACATTCCATATTTCTATTAAGCCTTATCCATATTTCTATTATGCTTATGTTCAAAACGTAGGCTATTGCACATATTTTATTACACTCCTAAACTGTCCTCTTGCAATTCAACTGCACTAAATAAAATACAATTTTATGCATAGAATAGCTTATTTATATTTTCTAGATAAATTTTAAAATCTTCACAAGCCTGTAAATGGTCAAGTTGGTCTTGAAAAATATATGAATAGCAGTAAAATAGAATATTATTTATTTCGTTCCCGTTTAACTGCTAGTGAGCCTCATATAAATCTAAACTGCATTTTATATACAACAACACAGCAAGTGATGCTTAGTGTAGTATTAAAACTATAGATTTATGAAAAGCTAGGCTCCAGAGAAAAAATATTTTTTATATGTTGGGCAACTAATTTTTTTAAGACATGAAAGAGTGTTTGATGAAAAACTAGGGACCGGTCAATGAGATAAAGTTTTTTTAATATTTAGGTTTAATAAAAGGTGGGAATAAGGATGGTTACCCCTTTCCTCAATTTCTAATTATCCCAAAATTTTTATCTCATTAACTGTCCCCCTTTTTTTGGCCAAACAACAACTTTATGTCTTAGAACAGGGGTGGGCACAAAAATCGGTCAGAGGGCCAAAGTGAATTTTTTATTTAACACAGAGGGCTGCACCCAAACTTTGTTGTTTCCAGTGTGCTTTCTAAAACCTCCAAGAACGGCTTTTACACCAAATTTATTCTTAGTTTTATTCTACCTTTTACATATGATCAGTGTCGGGCCATAAAAAACAAGCTGTTTTCTAGCCAATGTTGCTTGGCAAGCCGCACACACAGGGTTTTTAATTCTTTTTCGTGGGCCGCAAAAAAATCGCTGGCGGGCCGCACTTTGCCCATCTGTATCTTGGAAAAATCAGTTGTAAAACATATAAAAAAAATGTTTTCCTCTGGAACCTGGCTTTAGAAGTTTGCTGACCCCTATGAAGTTCACCATCTACAATGGAACATTCACTTTTTTTTACCTGTAAAAAAATAGCCAAACAGAAATCCATGACATTATTTGAATACCGGTAGTTAAAGCGAACATAAGAATGTTTGAAAAGTCCAAATTAAATCTTGTGGACATACAGGCTTTTCATACAAAACAAGTGCACAAAATATATTTCTAAAACATGTAGACAATGTTGCTGTCATAGGAGCATGTGACAGTTTCGAAGGCAAAAATACCTAAACGATGTTTGGCACCACAAAAAATAGGCATTTTGGTATTATTTTCTTTTTTAGTACTGATTACAATAGATAATTAGCAAAATTTAATAAATTCCAAATTATAAAAAAGAAGTATTTTTAAGTATATCTCACAGTTCACTGTGAATGGTGCAGTGTTTGTCTCAAAGTTTTGATTAGTTTTGTCATCAAGATAATTACTAAAGTTATTTATTATTATTATTATTATTATTATTATTATTATTATTATTATTATTATTATTATTATTATTATTATTATAATATATACTATTATTATTATTACAATGTTATAATATATTAATCTATTTTGATTATTAAAAAAAAAATGGTTTGGACATATCCACAGGCAAAGTAGCACTTTAAGCAATTCAACCTTCCAGGGCTATATAAATGGCAAATGGAAGCAAGGAAGACCTAGGAAAAACTGAATACACAACATGACTGAATGGAATGGACAAAAATGGACAATTTGAAAGTTGCATCTAAAGTGCTCCTACGACCCGATGGCTAGCCAACAGGTAATGAAACTGATGACGATTGTGATTAACAGAATTTATAAACCTTGCTAAATTCAAGATGTAACTATGGAGTGCATTATACACTCAATATGAGGCTAGGAGGAGTTGTTTTTAGTCATGAGAACAAATCTTGGTCTTTTGAAGGATATGAACCCTGGACCCTGTGATTGGAAAACAAGCACCTTAACCACCAAACCATAATTACATTCCATCTTCTTTAATTTCTATTTATAACTTGCTTAAGCTCTGTCCACATTATTAAATTTTCTTTAAATTCAGGCTCCGGAGGAAAAAAAATTTTTGATATGTTGTAGAACTGATTTTTCTAAGACAGAAAAAAGTTGTTTGACAAAAAACTGGGGAACGGTGAATGAGATACAGATTTTTGAATATTTAAAAACTTGGGGAAAAAGGGGCGTAACTGCCCATTTTTACACCTTATTCCCCCAGTTTTTAAATATTCAAAAATCTCATTCACCGTTGCCCAGTTTTTCGTCAAACAACTTTTTTTTGTCTTAGAAAAATCAGTTCTACAACATATCAAAAAATTGTTTTCCTCCGGAGCCTGACTTAAAAAAAAACAAACAGTTGTATGCCCATGTGCCTATATGGTGATGATGTGATATCATCATAAAAATATTTAGGCATATCGCATGTTTTTGTTAAATTAAATTTGAAAGTCTGGACAGGTTTTGAAACATCTAAACTGTGTGACATCTATGCAGCATCTGTATAGTGCTTTCCTGATTATCATGTGGTGTTTTTTATCAACCAAACAAAAACTTTGAAACCAGAAGTGTCTGGAATTTAGAAGATATCATCAAAGATACTGTTGAATTCGTTGCCAGCTTCACTGATTTTTCTGGAATTCCTAAAATATCCAAAATCAATAACTTTTTATTAGAAAATCATTTTTTTTTTGTTTTTTATCTTGGTTTTGTGGCCTGATGTTACCATTTTTTGATGGGAAACGGCTACAAAAATTATTTACTTTATTCATAGGCCATGAAATACACCAGCTGAAACATACATAGTAATAATAACACTGTAATAAAAATAATTAAAAATGTTAACATATTATTCTTGCAAAAAAAGATAAATAATATTGCTCTGAATATTTGTGAGATTAACGGTAGTAAATAATTAGGGATTAACAAATAAGTAAGGATTTAGCAAATAAAGAATTAGCAATTAAGTAAAGATTAGGAAATAAATAGAGTTTAGGAAATAGGAAAGGTTTTGGGAAATAAGTAAGGATTAGAAAATAAGCAAGGATTAGCAAATAAGTAAGGCTTAGCAAATAAAGTAAGGATTAGCAAATAAAGTATGGTAAGGATTAGCAAGTAAGAAAGGATTAACAAATAATTAATAATGGCATTACTGTATAATAGAGATGGGTACTCTGGCCTGTGAGCCCAGAGCTCTAGTTTCGACTGCTTCTACTCTACTTTTGTACAAACAACACAAAACTTACAAGGAATTACTTTTATTAAAGAATGACATCAGTGAGATTTGGTGAACAGGTGAGTGTTTAGCATCATCAGCATCATTCCCTATTTTCATCTGAAATGGAATAGAACAAAAATATACACATTTAAGCAATTGGTAAACTTGTACCTAAATATAATAGGTTACTATGTTGCTAATGTCATTTCAAAAGCCTACAATGGGTTGGCAGTGGCGGATTTAGTGGGGGTGAATAGGGTGGCTAGCCACCCCCTTCGGTGACCATGAAAAAAAATGGTCACTTGTCTTGTGTGTGTGCTTCTCACGTATATATGTATACTCTCGTAAAACCTACACTTTCTATATTAAGCTTAACTTCAGCATCTAGCCATCTACTAATTCCAAAATATCTCAAATTGAAGATGCCCCTCAAAAAAAAAACAAAAAAAACATGATCAAGGGGGACAGGGGACACATCTTAAATATTTTTAAGGAGGTGGGGTGGGTCCCCTCACTTTCCGTCTGCAATTTGATAATTTTATAAGTCAAGAAGATGCCTGAAAATTGTTTTCGGCACATGAAGTAGGACTAGGTGAAGTAAATTAAAAATTCATCAAGGACATTTGAGTTTTATTTTCAATGGAACATCACTGGGATTAGATCAATGATGATAAATTTGTACTATATGAGTGTCATTTCTGGCAATCTAGAGGTACTACATGTATGTCCCAAAATGTACCCACCTCAGCCCTTTACTATGGTGCGGACTAGGCTTTGAAGTAGGTAGGCCAAAACTAAATACATCCAAGACAATGTTTTTAAATTTTTTTTATATCACACACTACTATATAAAAGTGTCATTTCCGGTCATCTAGAGGTACTATTTCCTATAATTTTCAAACCTAGGCCCAATTATGGTGGGCCTGAGGTGGGTGTGGACTCACAAAATGATCTGCGCCCTTGCCAAAACCATGCCCCCTCCCCCGGCTTGGTGCTTTGCAAATCGTACTATCCACCCCCATAGCTATAGATCCGCCACTGGTTGGGGGTGGTTGAAGTTAAGTAATTGATTATGCCTTCACAAATACATGAGTACATAATCATGAAAACATATTTTATTACTAAAGTAAGACAATTATGTTTTTTGTTCAACCATTTCAACAATAAAATATTATTATTTATTCAGGCAAAAGATACAATATACAAACTATAAATACAAATCAGAAAAAAATTAAACGAACATAGCATTGACAAGCAGGCCTACATTAAATAGACCATTGTCATTAGCTGCCAGGAAAGCGCAAAAGCAGCCTAAACCACTGTCACCAAATAGGTGTGTGCCTCCAACTAATGACTACGTGTAGTTAGATACGGTAATACATATAATATTATGATATACATAAACGAAAGTGACTAGAGCATTACATTATAATATTAAGCCTAAGATATATCCATAGATGCAATTATAATTGAAATATTAAATTAGTTATACAAAGTTATTAACAAAATATAAAAAGTTAAAACATAGCTTGCACATTCAGCCTATTGAAAATATGGAACAAATTTGAAATTATTTCATTTTTAATGTAGTTAACTATCAATAGCTTAGGCTTATTTATCATGATTTGATTCACCACGTAAATAAAGGGGTGGGGTGAATAGGGTGGCTAGCCACCCCCTTCGGTGACCATGAAAAAAAATGGTCACTTGTCTTGTGTGTGTGCTTCTCATGTATATATGTATACTCTCGTAAAACCTACACTTTCTATATTAAGCTTAACTTCAGCATCTAGCCATCTACTAATTCCAAAATATCTCAAATTGAAGATGCCCCTCAAAAAAAAAAAAAAAAACATGATCAAGGGGGACAGGGGACACATCTTAAATATTTTTAAGGAGGTGGGGGATAGGTCCCCTCACTTTCCGTCTGCAATTTGATAATTTTATAAGTCAAGAAGATGCCTGAAAATTGTTTTCGGCACATGAAGTAGGACTAGGTGAAGTAAATTAAAAATTTATCAAGGACATTTGAGTTTTATTTTCAATGGAACATCACTGGGATTAGATCAATGATGATAAATTTGTACTATATGAGTGTCATTTCTGGCAATCTAGAGCTACTATTTCCCAAAATGTACCCACCTCAGCCCTTTACTACGGTGCGGACTAGGCTTTGAAGTAGGTAGGCCAAAACTAAATACATCCAAGACAATGTTTTTAAATTTTTTTTATATCACACACTACTATATAAAAGTGTCATTTTCGGTCATCTAGAGGTACTATTTCCTATAATTTTCAAACCTAGTCCCAATTATGGTGGGCCTGAGGTGGGTGTGGACTCACAAAATGATCTGCGCCCTTGCCAAAACCATGCCCCCCTCCCCCGGCTTGGTGCTTTGCAAATCGTACTATCCACCCCCATTGCTATAGATCCGCCACTGGTTGGGGGTGGTTGAAGTTAAGTAATTGATTATGCCTTCACAAATACATGAGTACATAATCATGAAAACATATTTTATTACTAAAGTAAGAAAATTATGTTTTTTGTTCAACCATTTCATCAATAAAAATATTTTTTCTACTACTATACTTTATGTAACCAAATAAAATTCATTGAGAATAATTTTTTAACAAAATGTTTTTTTTTCCTTCTGTTTTTCTATGCACAACAGAATGGTGAAGTGTTCAAAATCAACATCAACATTTCTAAGGAAACTTTTAGCAGGGTTGGACCAAAAAAATATACTTTTGTGAAATTGCGTTCTGTTCATTTGATGTGCTTTTTAAAACCATAGCTTGTATTGATAAGGCATTTCTTTTTTAAGGCCATAGAAAGTAATAAATATAAATGTACAATAAAATACCTTGCTTTTTTGTTGCTGATGATGGAAAACAAAATCTGGGGACAATTGTTTTGCATCCCCAGCACCAACCTCAGGGCTGTGTTTAAATGGAGAAAGAAAAAAAAATGTCTTTTTTTAAATCAGACTCAAGATTTAGGCATCCAGAATTAATACACTACTAGTAACAACAATGAAATGATAACAATAATAAATAGTAATAGATTAATAATAGTAATAGTAAAAAATTAAACAATTATAATAAATATAACAGTATATAAAAGCAATTATACTAACAAAATAATAAAGATAACAGTTACAATAAACAATTAAGAATGGTCATTCCTTCCATTTAATTATATACTGCAGAGAAAGAAAAAAAAAACAGAGCTCTGCAACTGAAACTCTTCTATAAGAAAAAATAAATAAATGTGTAAAGTGTATATCTTAGATATGACGAATGTACATCTCCACTTTTACATTTTCTAAATGGACCAATTTCAATCTAATTTGAAATTTATAATTCAGAAGATGAATCCTATTCATCTTCAAACTCAATAACAAAATAATAAAAGTTCATAACAATAATATAAAATGACAGGCTGGTGACAAAAGATTACTATTATGGATTATATACTTGTTTATTATCATCATTTGTATAACTTCTATTTTTTATTATTTACTTAATTATTGATTCATTCATCATCTTGTACTTTTGTACAAACAACACAAAACTTACAAGGAATTACTTTTATTAAAGAATGACATCAGTGAGATTTGGTGAACAGGTGAGTGTTTAGCATCATCAGCATCATTCCCTATTTTAATCTGAAATGGAATAGAACAAAAATAAACACATTTAAGCAATTGGTAAACTTGTACCTAAATATAATAGGTTACTATGTTGCTAATGTCATTTCAAAAGCCTACAATGGGTTGGCAGTGGCGGATTTAGTGGGGTGAATAGGGTGGCTAGCCACCCCCTTCGGTGACCATGAAAAAAAATGGTCACTTGTCTTGTGTGTGTGCTTCTCATGTATATATGTATACTCTCGTAAAACCTACACTTTCTATATTAAGCTTAACTTCAGCAGCTAGCCATCTACTAATTCCAAAATATCTCAAATTGAAGAAGCCCCTCAAAAAAAACAAAAAAAACATGATCAAGGGGGACAGGGGACACATCTTAAATATTTTTAAGGAGGTGGGGGTGGGTCCCCTCACTTTCCGTCTGCAATTTGATAATTTTATAAGTCAAGAAGATGCCTGAAAATTGTTTTCGGCACATGAAGTAGGACTAGGTGAAGTAAATTAAAAATTCATCAAGGACATTTGAGTTTTATTTTCAATGGAACATCACTGGGATTAGATCAATGATGATAAATTTGTATTATATGAGTGTCATTTCTGGCAATCTAGAGGTACTACATGTATGTCCCAAAATGTACCCACCTCAGCCCTTTACTATGGTGCGGACTAGGCTTTGAAGTAGGTAGGCCAAAACTAAATACATTCAAGACAATGTTTTTAAATTTTTTCTATATCACACACTACTATATAAAAGTGTCATTTCCGGTCATCTAGAGGTACTATTTCCTATAATTTTCACGCCTCAGGCCCAACTATGGTGGGCCTGAGGTGGGTGTGGACTCACAAAATGATCTGTGCCCTTGCCAAAACCATGCCCCCCTCCCAGCTTGGTGCTTCGCAAATCGTACTATCCACCCCCCATTGCTAAATCCTAGATCCGCCACTGGTTGGGGGTGGTTGAAGTTAAGTAATTGATTATGCCTTCACAAATACATGAGTACATAATCATGAAAACATATTTTATTACTAAAGTAAGAAAATTATGTTTTTTGTTCAACCATTTCAACAATAAATGTATTTTTTCTACTACTATACTTTATGTAACCAAATAAAATTCATTGAGAATAATTTTAACAAAATGTTTTTTTTCCTTCTGTTTTTCTATGCACAACAGAATGGTGAAATGTTCAAAATCAACATCAACATTTCTAAGGAAGCTTTTAGCAGGGTTGGGCCAAAAAATATACTTTTGTGAAATTGTGTACGGTTCATTTGATGTGCTTTTTAAAACCATAGCTTGTATTGATAAGGCATTTCTTTTTTAAGGCCATAGAAAGTAATAAATATAAATGTACAATAAAATACCTTGCTTTTTTGTTGCTGATGATGGAAAACAAAATCTGGTGACAGTTGTGTTGCATCCCCAGCACCAACCTCAGGGCTGTGTTTAAAATGGGGAAAGAAAAAAAATGTCTTTTTTTAAAATCAGACTCAAGATTTGTGCATCCAGCATTAATACACTACTAGTAACAACAATGAAATGATAACAATAATAAATAGTAATAGATTAACAATAGTAATAGTAATAGTAAAAAATTAAACAATTATAATAAATATAACAGTATATAAAAGCAATTATACTAACAAAATAATAAAGATAACAGTTATAATAAACAATTAAGAATAGTCATTTCTTCCATTTAATTATATAGAGAAAGAAAAAAAAAACAGAGCTCTGCAACTGAAACTCTTCTATAAGAAAAAATAAATAAATGTGTAAAGTGTATATCTTAGATATAATGAATGCACATCTCCACTTTTACATTTTCTAAATGGACCAATCTCAATCTAATTTGAAATTTATAATTTAGAAAATGAATCCTCTTCATCTTCAAACTCAATAACAGAATAATAAATGTTCATAACAATAATGTACAATGGGAGGTTGGTGACAAAAGATTATTATTATGGATTATATACTTATTTATTATCATCATTTGTATTACTTCTATTTTTTTATTAATACATAATTATTGATTCATTGAACCTACACCCACAGTGTACAACTATAACTCCAGTGAATAAATCCTCATCATGAAGTCTATGACATAGTTGAAAATAATTAAATTTACAGTACATATATTCTTCATCAAACCACTAAATCCCTTAATTGTGTGGATTGTAAATGTACTTTCAGAATAAAACAGAAAGTCAATTTGCAGACAGATGTCTAGGCCTATTAAACAAAATAATAATTTAAAATATCGCTAACATGATGAAATGTAAACTATTTATAAAACTTCCTATTTCTATAATTTAAAAAAAATATTATTTTAGTCATATTTCAAGGCCTATTTCATATTTTGATACTGCTTCAAAGTCTAAGACTAGAGACAACATAGCTCGTATCATAAAATGTAAATTATTTTTTAAACTTAAGAAACGCCAATTTCTATAAATAAGTAGGACAAACATCTAGCTTCTGCACTATTTTATTTCTGTTTGCTGTCACATAATTTATTACTATTTTCCAGTAAGATTTGTCTAAAAAATCTATTACCAACTTTGCAGATACAGGTTCTACAGAATGTAAAATGTAAATGATTTAATATGGATACACTGAGAGACCATTCTTACCTAAAATTCTCATCTATGTGTCGACAAAAGGTGGTACTTTCCATCTTTTGTTCAAAAGGAAGCTCATTCCCTGCCACACCAGAAGCACCTGCTAATGCAGGTGATCCTTCAAAATTATATACATCCTCATCTGAAGAGGATGAACTCAAAATGATTGGCAGTTCCTCTGGCATATTAACACTATCACATGTTCTGGTCACACAACCTACTGCAGCAATTGGTAGCTGGATGTTAGGCACTTCAGAAAGCTCTCTCTCTGCCACAAGGCCATCTGCCATGCCACAACAAGATCCTTCAGAAGCATAAAAATCCTCATCAGAGTAAGAAAGGTTAAAGATATCCGTAGGCTGCTCTATCACTTGAATGTCATCATGTGCAGCAGTCTTAATCTCTTCAGTAGTATTTGTTTGTCTGCTAAAAGACCATGAAGAATCCTTAAAACTTGTATTTCTGAAGATATTACCAGACTGAAGCAGCCGTTCCTGAGCTGTTGGTCCAGTTGGAAGCACCTTTTCACTTGGCGTTAATATTTGTTTGTTTTCCTCAACATCTAGTATCAAACGCCTCTGTGCTTTTGGTGGGTTGTAGGTCTGTTTAGAGGTAACAAGATTACTTATTCCTTCAACATCCGGAAGATCATCAAAAAGGTCTTCGTTGTCAGATTCTATAGAAGAAAACAATAATCAAATCAATGTCAAAGTAATCAATAACTTGTTCTAAACATTTCTTCATTTTAATGGCAATATATTATACAGTAGAACCTCAATTTTACGTACGGTCCGGGACCGGAGGGCGTACGTAAATCGGGGGATTCGTAAAATAGAGGTTGGGTTAAATTTGTGATAACCTTTGACCTAATACGTACGTAACGCTCAATATACGTATGTATGAACGAACGATGATAACTAGCTTGGCTAGACATAGCCTCTAGGCATACGAATAAAACCATGTGTTTAGTGTTTTTATTCATCACTTTACGATGTCATAATAAAGTGTTCAAATAAAACATGTGTCTAGTTCATCACTTTATGTCTTTTATTTAACTAAAGAACATGAAAATATTGTAAGATTACCCATACGACAAAGGTATGACTTGGGAATCTCCCCTTCATGCCTATTCTAAACAACAGAGCTGTGGTGTTGTCTGGGCCTGTTGAGACAAACTAAACCCATGTGCACTGGGCGAGCCAACCAATTAGTGTTCGTGTACGTGAAACAGCAAAACCATGTGTACTGCACTGGGCGAGCCAACCAATTAGCGTTCATGTACGAAACTATGCCTACTCATGTAGAAAATTAGACCAGACAAGTTTTTCCATGGTTTGCCACACGAAGCTAAGGAGGAAAACAATTATTTTGAGCACCATCAGTAGTTGTTCATCTCACTCAGTCCACATGGTTTTAGATTATAACAACCCGGTATTAGACTCAAGCAATGTTGCTGTTTAATGAAAATACGTTGCATTATGGTTTGTTTATTGTTATAGTCTTTTTACTTATCGTTGCTCTGAAAAGGGCCGTTTGTTTTGAATATTTTGGGGGTTTTTGATGACGTCATCGTCGATACGAGGCGTACGTAAAACCGAGGGTTCGTATAACTGGGGTACGTAAAAACGAGGTTCTACTGTATGAAAATATTAGGCTATGTAGTAGAACTGTGGCTTACAATACAGTATGTAATATAACTCTTTTTTGTAGACTAGATTTTCAGTTATGTCCCTTAACTTACCACAGGTCAGCGAATATGGAAGTTTGCTTCTGTTTAGTTGATACACATCTAAGTGTTCCCATCCTCTGGCTGGTGTGGCTGGACAACCTGATGTACTGCCGTATCGCCTTGCAGGTGTATTATAGCATCCTGCACCATGTGAGGCAACAACTTTCTGAGCTAGTCCTATACCACTTGTCTGAACTAGTCCTCTGCCACTCGTGTCAGAAAGTCCTGTGCCACCTGGCTGAATTAGTCCTGACGTGTCTCTTGTTCCACATTGCTGAGACAGCCCTGTGCCAACTGGCTGAACTAGTCCTGTGTCTTGTGTGACACATGGTTGAACTAGTTCTGTGCCAACTCTCTGCGCTAGTCCACTGGCTTTTGTGCCACCTGACTGAACTAGTTCTCTGCCACCTGCTTGAGCTAGTCCTGCACCTCCTGTGCTACTTGTCAAAGCTAATCCTGTATGAGCTAATCCAAAGCCATCTGTCTGAGCTAGATCTCTGCTGTCTGTCTGAGTTAGATCTCTGCTGTCTGTCTGAGCTAGACCTCTGCCAACTGTTTGAGCTAGACCTCTGCCACCCGTCTGGGCTAGACCTCTGCCACCTCTCGGAGCTAGATTTCTGCCATCTGTTTGTCCTGTGCCATATAAGGATACACTCGTCGGAGTTAGCCCAGTGCCATGTGAGGCTAAATCTCTCTGTCCTAGTCCTGCAGTGAAAAGAGTATCTATACAAGAAAACAATTAATGTTTAAAATTTGTTTAAATATTTATTAATTTTAAGACAAATTTCCTGTGTTTAGCTAAAAATGAGATAAACTTAAATTCAATGTGAATTGCTTTCTTTGTACATTTATGTAAATTCTTAGCTTTAAATTATAGATAAAAAGAGAAAATATTTTTCTCCTCAATTAACAAATGGATATAATAATGTTCCTACATTAGAACAGTCTATGAATGAAATAATATTTGGATGTATATTGCTGTCAGATGTAGTAAATGAAGGATCAATTTGTACAAACTAACCTGTGTTAGTAAGCAAAGCATTTTGGATTCCTCTAGGCTTAGGGATTGCACTGATGCAACTAGTTGCAGTCACAGTCTTGTCTAATTGTATGGTTGGCATGTTTGGTGTTGGTGCATCATCTCCTGTTTGTAAGGCACTAAGTTTAGCGGAGTGTAAGGGAGGAATTTGTGACTTTCTCTTGAAAGTGAATTTTTTCAAACTCTTCTGAGCACCTTCATGATTACCAGTATCCACCTGGAGAAAAATTTCAGTAAATTAATGGGATCACATAAATAAATCCTGAAAATAATGACACCCTATTATATTATGTGTTTTCTCCATAAGATTGCATAACTTCCTACTTATAAATTAAGCATGAACATTCAAATAATATTGTTATCCTTCAGGCTCAGAATGGATTAAAAAATATTATTTCTCTAAATACTTATGCCTACTACTGGATATCATATTTGCTGTCAATTAAGTGCTAATAAACAATTTGCAGAGGTAGAAAATAATGAAGATGAAACCTACTCATCAAAACAGTTTTTGTAAGGTTTATGAAACATCCCCATCAGTATTTTTTTTTAGTATAGTAGGCCTGATGTTACCATCAATAATCAATAATTTATATCTATAAAGCCATGAAATACTGGCACCTAGGGGTGAACCAATTGACAACTCTGTTACCAGTGCAAGTTAGGGTGTCTGAGTATAGCTAGCCAAGAATGGTCAACAAACCATAGGGATAGCAAGGTTTAGAATCTGAATGGAAATTGCTGCTCCTAATTGCCTTTGCTTATTTGATAATTATAAACTCTTACTCGTGTTCTTTTTATCTGTGGTGCCATCGGCATACAATTAGCTCTTGTATGAAGCTGACTGAGGAAGGCATCCATGGTCTTCTGGTTCTTTGGTGTTGTACCACTCATAATCAGCTGTCTCTTCTCTGGCCTTGATTTGGAGGATTGTTTAACAGCGACACCATTCTTGCAACATGGATGTCCACAGGCACGCTTGTTCACACACTTATGATTGCAAGCCTTCCGGGCATCCTGGGTGTTTCCTGAATGACAGTGAAGTACAATCATATTACATTTTTTTCTACTTCTCAAGTTCCTACAGCAATTCAAAATGGATGTGTAAATCATATTTATTATTACAGCTACATGACAAAATCCCTATATATAGTACGGACCACTATTATTAAACATTATCTATTAACGGTTCCTTTTTAGTAAGTGCAGAGTTAACTTGTATTCAAGATTTTAAGTGGAACACATTTAATGTGTTTTAAACATATGATCAAAAGATCAACTGCACTCCCTAAGCCTCATAATGAGTTTATGTAGAGCATCTTATGTTTATTTATTTATTTTTTAAAATTTCAAACATATTTATACAGGATTAAAATATATGAGATAGTTGATAAAGCCTGTTTTTCATATGGTCCTGTTCAAACTTCATACTAGGGTTATAAAACAAACATTATACGTCACACTTCAATAAATATGAAATTCGAATATAGCATGTTTGCCTTGTGAAGAGATATGCCACTTTGAATAATTAAGTTTGCTGCTTGGTATATCCTTGGACTAGCGTCAGCCTAAATCAATTAATAAGATAAATAAATAAACTTATATTATAGCCCACAAAAACACAAACAGGCCTATGAAGGAATTGAACTTACACAACTGAATGGCATACAACAGTGAACCTCAGTGAAAGTTTAAATTCATAAACATTGTTGGGAGTGCACTTATACACCCAAAATCTGGTGTTCGGAAAGAGTTCCAATGAAATACATCTTGACCAGGTTTCGTGATGTGGTTAAAAAAAAATTAAGAAGACTAACCTTGTGTGGCTGAAGGGCTCCAATCTATGTCATCTGAGCTCTCTGGCCTTGACGACTTAACACTGATACCTCCGACAGGTTTTACAGACTTCATGAAGGCTTGCAGTTTGGACTGTGATTGGCTGCCTTGCTTGGAATTAGTTGTATATCGGGGATCTGTGTATTTTATGGTAAGATTCAGGTGTACGTCCAAGCCAACTGCAAAATAAATGGATATCAGTATAGTATGAAATTTTTAATCATTTATTCATATACCTCGAAAAAAAGGGGCAGATCCAGGGAAAAATGGGCTACGTACCCCTTCCCTCAAAAACAAAATGGAAAAAAGAGAGAAGAAAAGAGAAAAAAACAGGAAAGCACAGTACTCCAAACAAGCTATTATTCAATATTCCATATACCATGTCTGTGGTCAAGCATTTCTGAACAACTTTAAACAACCAACAGAGTTGGATTTGCCACTAAAACCAACCACAACAGAATAGATATTATTAAAGAGTTTTCCCCTTTATCAACTTTCATATTAGTTAATATGACATAGATTATTACATAAATCATTTTACCTATCGTTTCATGTATATGAATTCTTTCTAACTAGAGAGCAGTACAATAGCCGCACCAGCCGGGAATCCAAACCAGCTAGCTGTAATTATTCCAAATAACTCTAGAAACAAACACTCACCATATTCTTGACTAATGTAATTGACTGTGATATCATCACCATTATTTGCTCGTTGCAGTGTTAGTGTCCTAGTCCACACAATACTGTTTAGTAACGTTGTGTCCCTTTACAATGATACAGACAAAGTGATGTGAACACAGACAATGAATGCACACAGGTTATACCAAGGACTTATAACTGTTACCAGGATAGGAATCTGGCTGGTTTAAGCCATCTAACTTGAATTAGCCTTATGTGTGGTATTGTTATGCTAATGACCTAGATAAGCACAATCTGCACATGCTCAGAAAAACAAAACTTTCCTTTACCACACTACGGCCAGCACTGCGTATCGGCTAGATGTACAGCTAGGCTTGCCAAGGATTATGGTACGGTAAACAAAGAAATGGCGTATTAAAATAAAAAATTGGCGTTTGCGAGCAATACATTTTAATTTTATTTAATTAAGTATATGAAAAATTTTAATGCACTAGTTAGTTGATAACTTCATTCTAATTTGTTTTGGGTCTTTTTTCTGCATTTGTATAAGTGGTTATACATGGCCTAGGCTAGCCAAAAAAAAACAAAATCACATCAATTTAAAATCAAATTTGTGAACATACTTGCCTTATATCTTTTTCTGTTCAAGCTCCTTCTCTGTGGAATTCTCTTCCTTTTTCTGTTCATAATTTGCCTAATTTATATTCTTTTAAGAAGAACTTAAAGTTTCACCTTTTTGAGAAATGTTACTGAGCTTGTTTTCTCCAGCGCCTTTGATAAATTTTTGAATTGGCGCTATATAAGTGTTTATTATTATTATTATTTAATAGCAGGTGATTTTATTGGTAGATTAGTTTGCTTTTAAGTGTGTAAGCATGATTGATTTGCATGCCAAGTGAAATTAGTACCCTTATTTTGCTTTATTTTACCATACAGTAATTCTCGGCTAGGCCTAGCTGTACGCCAAGCCGATATGCAGTGCGGGCCGCAGTGACTAGGGAAAGTTTTGTTTTTCTGAGCATGTGCAGATTGTACTTTTCTGGCTCATTAGCATAACAATACCACACATAAGGCTAATTCAAGTTAGACGGCTTAAACCAGCCAGCTTCCTATCCTGGTAACAGTTATAAGTCCTTGGTTATACATAGCAGTTATGAGTATGGATGTTAAAGTGGTAGTCACATGTGTTAATGTCATCATTTTAGGTTAGCCCGTAGGTAATATTAGTATCAGTGTCAGAAAAGTTTGAATAATAAGATATAGATGAAGAATAATGTAAAGAGTTTGGCTTGAGGTATACCTGAATGCCATCATTCAAAAAAGTGTAAGATGAAAGACACCTAGATTTACATCGTCACTAATGCCAAGAGCATGGCATAGAGATAGATGAAGGGAGGAATGGACAGAACGGTTATCAATTGTTTTTAATCTACTGGTGACTAATTAAGAGTATATTGAACTAATGATGAGAAAGTTAATCAATGCAAATAATTCACATGACAAGAAAAATTAATGACAATCAAAGGAGTTCAAAGTATTTCTACTTGTAGGTATTAATGGATTAGCATGCATGCCTATATAAGCATTATCACAGATATCTGTATACATATAATTTATTATTATACATACATTATTTTCTTCTTCAAAATGATTTCATCATCTGCATTACCAATGAGAAGCAAAGAGCAATGAAAGCCATTTGTTGTTTGTTTCTGCAGTAACTGTTCCCTGTTTTCCAGGCAGACTGTAACCCTAATTTCAGCTGAGAATCTTTCATGTTTGCTAGACTGAAAGCAAAAGAAGATGAACAGAAATTCAAGCAACTTCAAAAGTACTTTTCACCTACAACCTTCTAGTCTACCATACACACAAACATTTATCTTTGCTACCAGCTTAGTAAGCAAACATTTCGTCTACATGAAGTTCCATGTCAAAAAAAACTTCTCAAAGTGCTGTGGGCACTACATTTTAAATACACAAGAGCAACTCGCAGTGTCATTATGCTGAATTGCATATGGATGTGGTCCATGAATACCTAGCTGCCATAAAGAGGCACTTATAGTAGCTACATGTTAAATCATTCCATGACAGGGGCTGAAATAAATCATAGCTTCGGGGTAACACCTACTCTTCTGAAAGATGCAATAGGTTCTTTAAAGTGCACTCGAGCCAGATGTGTACCCCAATTTTAATTTCTTATCCGACTTGATTCTACCAACCGAACCAAGGGCCAGGAGCGATTCAAACCAGTGCCAATGTTAAGGTTGTCACTCGACTCAAGTTTGAAATAGTATGACATTTGTTATTTAAGCAACAAGCCCTTGGGTCGATTATCACTAGAGATTAACTTGTTTTTGGGGTTTTTTTTTTAATTTTTGTTATGTTTCCTTAGTAATAAAAATTATTCATTCATTATTCAGCTTGCTGTTTCTGATTAAAGAGAAAGGAGGACAGGGAGTGCTGCTTTGCACCTTCATTCTTATATGCATCCTCTGCATTTTACCTGCAATACTTCCACCTTGTACTTTGGTAGATGGGCAACAGCATCATGGATCTGGTTTCCAAAGGGCGGATGACGATTAACAATCTAGGAACAAATAATAAACATCAATTAATAACATTTAATATGGATTTTTTTCTTTGTTCTGTTAAAGAAAATCATCTAATTTCCTGATGAAATTTTTTTTTGGTTGTCTTTGCATTTGTTTTCGGGACATGATCTACGTAATTTTTTGTATTTTGTATTGATACTGTACTGAATTTATATTCAATAAATTCATCTTTAATAAATCATTCTAAATATATCAATTGAGTCCCACAAATCAAACAGAATCAGTAAAACACAGTGCTCTTCAATGAATGTATATTCAATAATTTCAATAAGTCTAGTTGATAATGCATCAATATATATGTATTTAAATATATATTTTTGTCCTTGTATGACTTTTTATGGTAATCTTTTTATATCTAATTATAGTTAATCCTTTGTCTTGTTTTAAAAACATTTTTTATTTGCATGTCTTGTATTTTTCTTGTATCGGTTTTATATTACTTAAGATTTGATGTTTTTACTGTCCATCCAAAAGTAGTTCAGATTTTATTCTCATGCCTTTAATTTCTATTTTATCTGTAAAATGGTAACAATTCAGTTTTTTACTGCAAGTGTAATTATTTTGAATAATACAGTATATCTTTATGAATGATTTAATATATTATGGAAGAAAAAATAATTAACTACATATTTAATTAAGTTTTCAATAATTTTTCAAATACCTTTTTTTCTTTAATCACTTACCAGTTCTAACTGTCTAGGGTTGGTCTGTATTAATTTACTGAAGCTTCCAATGCCTGCATTCACTAGGGCGGTGGATAGGCTTGAGCCTATCCTCTCAATTTGCCGACTTACATACCTACTATTTTCCCACAGCCTAGCCTTGAAGC